AAGTATGTTCGCGGAGCTTGATGAATCGGTGAGAGGAAATGTGGCCTTAGGAGATGAATCAAAGATGGAGGTAAAAGGTAAAGGAAACATTCTCATCCGATTGAAGAATATAGATCATCAATTTATTTCCAACGTTTACTATATTCCGAGCATGAAGAAAAACATCTTGAGCCTTGGACAACTCTTAGAGAAAGGTTATGATATTCGACTAAAAGATAATAACCTTTCTATAAGAGACCAAGCAAGTAATCTCATTACCAAGGTATCGATGTCGAAAAATAGAATGTTTGTCCTTAACATTCAAAATGACATCGCACAATGTCTCAAGATGTGCTACAAGGAGGAGTCTTGGCTTTGGCATCTTCGATTCGGGCATCTAAATTTTGGAGGATTGGAGTTGCTTTCGAAGAAAGAAATGGTGAGAAGACTACCTTGCATCAATCATCCAAATCAAGTGTGTGAAGGATGTCTACTTGGAAAGCAATTCAAAATGAGCTTTCCAAAGGAGTCAAGTACAAGAGCTCAAAAACCGTTGGAGCTAATACACACGGATGTGTGTGGTCCGATCAAGCCCAAATCACTTGGTAAAAGTAACTACTTCCTTCTCTTTATTGATGATTTTTCAAGAAAAACATGGGTTTACTTTTTGAAAGAAAAATCCGAGGTGTTCGAGAACTTCAAAAAGTTTAAAGCCCATGTTGAGAAGGAAAGTGGTCTTGCAATCAAAGCCATGAGATCCGACCGTGGAGGAGAGTTTACATCGAAGGAGTTTTTAAAGTATTGTGAAGATAACGGCATTCGAAGACAACTAACGGTGCCAAGATCCCCTCAACAAAATGGTGTAGCGGAAAGAAAGAATAGAACAATTCTTGAGATGGCGAGGAGCATGCTCAAAAGTAAGAGACTACCAAAAGAGTTGTGGGCGGAAGCGGTCGCGTGTGCGGTTTATCTATTAAACCGATCTCCAACAAAAAGTGTCTCGGGAAAAACACCGCAAGAAGCTTGGAGTGGAAGGAAGCCCGGTGTTTCTCATTTAAGAGTCTTTGGAAGCATTGCTCATGCTCATGTACCTGATGAGAAGCGGAGCAAACTAGATGACAAAAGTGAGAAGTATATCTTCATTGGTTATGATAACAACTCCAAAGGCTACAAGCTCTAGAATCCCGATACGAAGAAGACAATAATTAGTCGAAATGTCGTATTCGATGAAGAAGGAGAATGGGATTGGAAATCAAATGAAGAAGATTCTAACTTCTTTCCACACTTTGAAGAAGATGACTCAGAGCTAACAAGAGAAGAGCCACCAAGAGAAGAACTTACTACACCACCAACTTCACCAACAAGTTCTCAAGGAGAAGAAAGCTCAAGCGAGAGGACTCCTCATTTTAGAAGTTTACAAGAGCTCTACGAGGTAACCGAAAATCAAGACAATCTTACTTTATTTTGTCTATTTGCGGAGTGCGAACCCATGGACTTTCAAGAAGCCATTGAAAAGAGGACTTGGAAAAATGCCATGGATGAAGAGATAAAGGCGATAAAAAAAGAATGATACATGGGAGCTAGCTTCACTTCCAAATGGGCACAAGGCGATAGGTGTGAAGTGGGTGTATAAAGCAAAGAAAAATTCTAAAGGAGAAGTGGAAAGATACAAAGCAAGATTGGTGGCAAAAGGTTATAGTCAAAGAGCCGGAATCGACTATGACGAGGTATTTGCTCCGGTTGCTCGTCTAGAAACGGTTAGACTAATCATTTCACTAGCGGCTCAAAACAAGTGGAAGATACATCAAATGGATGTCAAGTCGGCCTTCTTAAATGGAGACCTTGAAGAAGAAGTTTACATTGAGCAACCACAAGGCTACATAGTCAAAGGAGAAGAAGACAAAGTCTTGAGGCTAAAGAAGGCGCTTTACGGACTAAAACAAGCCCCAAGAGCTTGGAATACTCGAATTGACAAGTACTTCAAGGAGAAAGATTTCATCAAGTGTCCATATGAGCATGCACTTTATATCAAAATTCAAAAAGACGATATATTGATCGCATGCTTATATGTAGATGACTTGATATTCACGGGTAACAATCCAAGCATGTTCGAAGAATTCAAGAAAGAGATGACGAAGGAGTTCGAGATGACGGATATTGGATTGATGTCTTACTACCTCAGAATTGAAGTAAAACAAGAAGATAATGGAATCTTCATTACTCAAGAAGGTTATGCTAAGGAGGTACTTAAAAGGTTTAAGATGGATGACTCGAACCCGGTGACCACACCAATGGAATGCGGAATCAAATTATCAAAGAATGAAGAAGGGGAAGGAGTGGATCCAACAACCTTTAAGAGCTTGGTTGGAAGCTTGAGATACTTAACATGCACAAGGCCCGATATTTTATATGCGGTCGGAGTTGTTAGTCGTTACATGGAGAATCCAACAACAACTCATTTCAAGGCGGCCAAGAGGATTCTTCGCTATATCAAAGGTACCATAAACTTTGGCTTACACTATTCTACTTCTAATGATTACAAGCTTGTTGGATATAGCGATAGCGATTGGGGTGGAGACGTAGATGACCGAAAGAGCACAAGTGGTTTCGTGTTATATATTGGAGATACGGCTTTCACATGGATATCGAAGAAGCAACCAATTATAACTCTTTCCACTTGTGAAGCGGAGTATGTAGCGGCTACTTCATGTGTGTGCCATGCTATTTGGTTAAGAAACCTCTTAAAGGAGTTAAGCTTACCACAAGAGGAACCAACGAAGATTTTTGTGGATAACAAGTCGGCAATAGCATTGGCGAAGAACCCGGTCTTCCATGATCGAAGTAAACACATTGACACACGCTATCACTACATTAGAGAGTGTGTTAACAAGAAGGACGTGCAATTGGAGTATGTGAAGACACATGATCAAGTAGCCGATATTTTCACCAAGCCTCTCAAGCGCGAAGATTTTATCAAGATGAGGAGTTTGCTTGGAGTAGCAAAATCAAGTTTAAGAGGGGGTGTTGAAAGTTAAACTTGATTTTGAATCAAGTTTAATTATTGGTTCAATTATCCAATAATTATTTGATGGGCCAAATCCAAGTTCTAGAGTTTTCTCTAGAAATATCTACACATCCACCTCCTTAAAAAGTTCTAGAAATTTTCTAGAATCATCTTCCACCTCTTTAAACATAATAATCTAGATATGCTTATAGAATAATCTAGATAATTAGAATATTATAATCTAGATATTATGTAAGAACTCTCTAGATTTAGGATTAAAATATGTTAGATATTTTGTAGTTTGGAGGCTATAAATACCTCCTCCCTCTCTCATTTGTTGTAAGATTATGAAGTTGTCTTCAAGTTAAAATCAAAGTAATAAAAGTTCTATTTCCTAAAACTCTCTCTCAAACACTTAAACACTTTCTCCATTACCTCTAAAAGAATTTTACTCTAACAGTGTCTCCTTAAAGGTTCAATGTCTTTGGCTGCTGTTCTCTTCACACCCAAAGGAGGCAATGAAGAGTTTTTCTTAACCCTAATGGAAGAGTCTCTATTCTCCACATGAGATGACGGAGAAAGGCTCATCGACGGTAATGAATTACGACGGAATGACGACGAAGAAGGGCTTAATGGGGGCAAGGAAGAGTAGACAGGAGATGGTTGCAAGGAGGAGACGACGAGTGAAGGCTGAGTCAGCGACCGTGGTCCGGAAGAACTGATTTTGTCGGATCCATTCATTGTTAAGGATTAAAGAAGACCAACAATGGAGTATATATCTGCATCATATTAAAAAAAAAGTCATGTTTCTACGTATAAATCTTTTTTTTTTACATGCAAAAAAAAATAAAATAATAGAAAATTGGGAAAAGGATAACAATTCAAAGCCGTGATTAAAATTATCATTAGTACAAATTGTGATGACATCGAGATTGTCATTAGTTTATAGAGAAAGGAGAACAAAAACACAATTGATATATGTTGAGTAAGGGAAAGAGAGTTGAAAGAAAAACCTCTGAGAAATTGGAATATGATTTTTGTTTGTTTGGATAGTTTGCACGAGCCTCCTTTTATATTGGTTAAGAACAATATATGAGTCTCATGTTTGTATTCCCATTTATTAGAATTTAATGATTTTCCTTCTTAAGTCCATTAGTTTGAATCTTGTTTTTGTCAATAAATAAAATACATATTTTGAAGTCAAAACATTTGATGGAATTCTGTGTTTTTAGGTAATTTAATGAAAATTTATAAATCTAATGTCATTATGTTTTGGTATTTACTCAATCTTAATTAAAATTCAACTTTTGGCATGGTCTTTACTTTTGCTATTGAGTGATTTTGGGGTGTTGTTTTCTTTTGCAACTGAGTGGTTATTTTGGCACGTTATTTATTTTGCTAGTGAGTAATTTTGATAAGTTGTTTATTTTTTACAATCGAGTTATTTTGGCATGCTGTTTTTTTTTTTTTTTTTTGCTATTGAGATATGTTGGCAAGTTGTTTATTTTTGATAATTAAATATCGTGTTATTTAAAGAGTTGACAATCTAACAAAAAAAATAATAAGTTACAATCCATTTGTTGCGAGAATTATCGTATAACACTAGATGCATCCCAAACAATGATCTCGTGCTATATTTTCCAATAACAATGTCTAAAAAATTATCTTCAGAATCATTGTTTGAAACCACATACCATATATCTCGGCTTTAGTCGGTTTTACTATTTGTCATACAAATTTTAACCACCTAAAGATGATACTAAACCAAATTAACTGATTAAAATTGAACCGACCCAAAAAAATAATCAAGTAAAGAATCTCTAATCCACAAAAGATGATCAGTGCCTACGTAGAGTCGGTTTTCATAATAATGACTTTATTTTCTTTTCTTCAGCGTCTTTAGATTCCCAAGAATTCCCAAGATCATTCAACTAAGTTGAGATGGCTGGCTTTTGGACCAAGACATATAGCTCAGACCTATAAGGGGTATATAATTAATGGGCACCGTTTTCACACTGAGGATGTAATGCGTAAGACTCAGAACAGTGGAGTAACATATGAAACTATTAGCATGTGTCGATCTAGTGCCAGAGATACTAGGCATATCGCAAACATGGTTGTGTACTATGGAGTTATACAGGAGATAATCTTGTTGGATTACCATATGTTTCAAGTTCCAATATTCAAGTGTAAGTGGGCAAACAAAGGAAATGGTGTAAGAGAAGATGAAGATTTTACATTAGTGAATCTTAATGTAAACCAATCTGCGTACAGAGATGATCTATATATTTTGGCATCGCAAGCGAAACAAGTTTTCTACTCTAAAGAAGATGATTCATCTCCTTGGCTTGTAGTTATGAGGGCGCCACCAAGAAGATATCACGAGTTAGAAACAAAAGAGGAATTTGTTGCACCTTTATCTGTTCCTGAAATTGAAGATCTAGGGAACCAATCTTCTGATGATGAGAGTTTCTCTGTTAGAGATGATTGTGAAGGGGTCTTAGTAATGGATTGATTGAGCTAGTAGTAGTTACTTGTAGTAAATTGCTTTGAATAATATGAAAAGTTAGTTGTGTTTCAGGTGTGATGACGACAGGAGATGCAAACAAGAGTCGACGCAGTAAAAGAAAAAAAGGACTTGCCCCAGAGACTCAAGATGAAGTAGACACTACACACCACAATGAAGAGGAAGATGTATGTGCCCAGAATGATCAAGAAACTATCCAGCCTGCCCAAGAAGGAGCAACTGAAACCCAGGAAGAAAAAAACAAATCAAGGGAAACAAGAGGGCCTACAAAGATGCGTGAAGTTGCTAAACACCATGATGATAAGGTTGATGTTGAATACACTCTTCTAGGTGAACTAGTTGGGTAAGGGTTTGTATCACTTTCTTCATTTCGTGGGCCACTGGTGAGGGAGCATGTACCCGTACTACTTGATGATTGGAGGCGTCTGGATAACCAAACAAAAGACAAACTTTGGCAGGAGATTCAGGTATTCTCTGTATTATATAGTAGTTCTTTAACACATACATATTAATAGAGTTTAATATATAGTAAGTTCTTTAACACATACATACTAATGTTTAACTTTTGAAAATATTATAGGGAAGGTTCAATCTAAATGAAGGATGGCAAAAAGATTCTGTTTTTAAACAGATGGGTTGTTTGTGGCGGGCTTCTAAGTCCAAACTTCTAACCCGAGTACGAAATACAAGAAAGATACAGTTACAGAGTTTAAAACCAAGTAACATCCAATCTGTTGCAGCATGGAAAAATTGGGTGAAGAGTAGAAGTAGCCCAGAATTTAAGGTTGTTTATGTTTACTCTTTATTTCAACAATCATGTTTCTTTCTAATTGTTTCTAGAAAAATCAGAAATGGGATTGCTTTTGTAGGTTAAAAGTGACAAGTATATAGCACTGAGAAAGGCGCAAATTCCCCACACCACCAGCCGGAAAGGAATGCTTAGAGTAGCTCATGAGATGGTACAACTTTTGATTTTATTGAGTTTAACTTGGTAGGTATTCTTTTACGGTATTGTTTAGTTATTTTAATTATTAAACAACTTTTGATTCTTGTAGAGGAACAAGAGTTCTGAGCCTAGCAAGGTGACTAGGAGTAAAGTATGGGTGGCAGGGCATACTCATTCAGATGGAATCCCTGTTAGACCTGAATTTGTAGAGACTATTGTAAGTGAAATGGGATCAGAAACAAGTAAATTCAAATTGCTTTCATTATAGTTTCTATGTTCCTCTAATTTTGTTGAAATATTTGTATCAGGAACATATAAAATCTATTGATAGTGAAATGGGATCAACAGCTAGTACTGGCGTTAAAGATGATGTTGTGAGTCAAGTGCTAGGAAAAGATAAATCATGAAGAATTAGAGGGATGGGCAGAGGGGTTACTGCTACCAAGCTAGCATTCCTTCAAGCTAGAGACTCACATGTACAGAAGCTTGAAGCATAACAGACAAAATTGATCAACAAGATTAATGATCTACAAAATAAAGTGCGTGGCTTATCTAAAGGGAAAAAGGTTAGTTAATTTTCACTCATGTGATTGATTATGCCTATTTGTATATTATTACCAATTCACTTTATTCTTTTCAAAACAATTTGATGATGTTTCTATATCGGAGACTAGTAATGCTAGCAAAGTAGTAACTAGATGTCAACTACTTAATTGGTGTTTAATGGATGATATTGTTGTCGGGGAAGGAGAGTTCTGTTCAGCTGAACCAATGTACAAGATAGGTCGAATTCCTCTTGGTCTAAGTGCAACGGCTGTTATTGTCAACTCTGTATCAAAAGAAGATGCATATGTCTAGAGGCCAACAACAACTATTTTCTCACTTGGCCAAGCTGTGGGCGCCAAAATTGTATGGCCATTATATAAAATCATTTTGGACAGTGATAGCAACTCCCCAATTGATAATCAGACTACTGGTTCATCGGTAATTTTCATTTTATCTATCTTTATTATGAACTGTTGGAATTTATGCATTCTCTGTTCTTATATGGTATGCATAACATAGGCACCACTTGATAGAATCCTCATCTTTGATTGGAATCGGGAGGATATGATAGTTGCTGAGGGTCTATTGATTTCAACTCATCCAAAAGAACTGGCCAACAATATTCCTCTAGGCTCCAATGCTGCAAGTGTTAAAGTTCATATGGTGATTAATAAAGATGCTTATCAGTGGAGACCTACTAGTGAAATGATATTGATGGGTATCACTAAATGAGCTTATTGCATGGCCTATTCAGAAGACACGGTATATTAATCCAACGCCAAGAGCATCATCACCAAAAGAATCATCACCTGCTGTAAAACTTCTGTTCCCATATTGGTTAATTGGTTAAAAAATTTATTGTTGTTGTTGATTTGGACGTTTGAAATTTGTGAGTGACAGAGTACAAGTTGCAGCATGGGCAACAGCCTGAAATCAAATGAACAAAAAAGGTGCATGCTGTTAGATTGCAATGGCATAGGAGAAATCGTTGCAGAAGGCAAAATATGTTCAACTAATCCAGAGGATAAGGTACATTTTGTCCCTTTAGGACCTGATGCTAGCAAGGTATGGGTACAAGTTTTAGAGATTGGAAGTGCTAAAGTTTGGAGAGCAAATTCAGAGGTTAAATTCATTGGTGATGCTTTAGAAACTACAATCGCATGGCCTAACGATAAACTTCAATTTTTGTGATATTGTGGTGAAGAGTATGTTTATTAGAACTTGAAATATTGTGTTGAATTAAGATATTGTGTACCTTTATGGTGAAGTTTATTTGAGATGTTTAAGATCCTATTTATGTTCCAATATTTGTCTTCAAATTGCACTTTTTTAAATTAATTCAATCAGGAAAAACAAGCTCATCATAAACAATCTGTAATTTGTATGTGAATGGACTACAAAGAAAAATAACAAAAGACAATGCTATTTTATATATATAGAATACAATTAGAAAACGCTGTTATATAGAAAATAATAGCATCTCAATAAAGCAATTGTATCTGAACTAATAACAGTATAAACAACGCTATTATAAAAGACCAAACAATAGCGTTTCTTAAACCGCTATCGTTTTAATAAATAGCATTTTTCAGACACTAATAATAATCATTTTTCTTGTAGTGTTATTACCTATGTAAACAATATTTCTCAGCATTGACTTGTATAAGTTAATCTAATAAAGCTATTGACAAAAAAGAAATATGTTTTCTTTTATTTATTTTTCCATTTGAATTAAGCTTTGTTAGAAATTTTTTTGGTGGGAAAATTTTGTTGGAAAGATTTTTGGCAGGAAAATTCACTTTTGTCATTTTGTTGACTTAATTATTTTTCAAATAGAGGTAAAATGGTCATTAAAATTTGAAAGATGATATAAATAAAAATGGCTAGAAAAGAGAGTATTTTTGAAAAAGGAGTATTTCTAATAATTTCTATTAATTATATTGTTTTTGTTACAAACATATATCTATTCTTTTAAAATCAAATTCATCCTCAATGTAATTATTAGTGTTCGACATATTGAATAAGACAACCCGATTGAGGGAACTAATTCAAATATGAATGTTTGACAAAGAAAATAATTCTATAAAAAAGAGAAACTAATTAAGTTAAATTAAAAAAAAAGCCGAAAAGAAAAGGTAAGTTTGACACGTCAAGAATAATGTTTCTCTTTTAATATATAAAAAACATTTGCTTAACTTATAACTTTCAAGCTGACTTCAATTTTTACAGAAACATCAATTACTTAGATGTTAAACTTAAATTATTTAGATGATAATTTAATTAAAGTATATTAATTCAAACTATTTAAATCGTTATCAAGAAGTAAAATTACGGACAGAGAACCCACATGTATGGGCGAGTATTGGACCTAGTAAAAGAAAGACATAGTTTTATTGGAAAAAGGATAAATCAATAAAAAAAAGTCATATCGTCTGAAGGAAGCCTCACAATTACTATCATATTTACCCTCAACATGACCCTGGACATAAGTTAGAGAAACTAAAACAACTTAAGAGAACTATAACTCCGATCTTTGATCTATCAAATTCGTTATGGTTGTGCAATACTTAACTTGTTTCTTGAGCTGTTGGAAATTGATTTTTAAGAAGGTGTTGCGGTTAAGGATCTAGTTAAAAATCTCAGCCAAAAATATTATTTTGTTTATACATTGTAGCAAAAAATTACCTTATCCTAAACATTAAGTTTCCGGTATAGTGGAAAAAGTAAACATATTTTGCAGTTAAAGATCTAGTAAAAAAATGCGTAAAATTATTCAAAAATATTTTTTTTTATGCAATATATATTCTTAACCCTTTTTTTACTGATACTCCACATAAAAATCTTGGCGTCGTAAACACTATCATGCGCAATGCAAAATAAGTGGGATGTCGAAAAAGATTAAAACTGTTTCCACAATTAGATATTACTTTATAGGCGGTGTCATAAACAAAATTCATGCAATTACCAGAGTAACAACCTTAAACAATCAAAATTCATGCAATTACTATAAATTGCACAACAAAGAACTCACTGAAGTATCGATAGAAATTAAGATGATGTACCATCACGAAGTTGAGCCTGTTGCTCCAACGATTCAATTCGAATAGTGATTTCCTTCTTCTCATTCATCATCATTGTTTTATCATTCTACATGTACATAACAACAATATCAATAACCAAATTTTTTATAGGAATCTATTAGACATGAAAAGTTATGGTTGCTAATGAGATATGTCTCACCTCCAAAAGCTTGATCTTTTCAGACATTGATGCATTTTCGTTCTCAAGAGATTTTATGTTCTGTTCCAAGTCAATAACATACTGTCTCTGCCTCTGCTTTGAAAGTTCAATTGATACTCGGTTCGCCAAGATTCTGAAAGAACATTCTCGTCTATTCAATTCAGCATCAGTATAATCACTGCTACCAAACTCGAGGCCGGAAGCATTCTCGTCTCCATCAACCAAACTTGAAGAGGAAACGTTACCCTGAGAAGGAGTCAACTTCAGTAAGTCATTGAAAAAACTATCCATTGAAACACTCCTATAGTGTCTCCTTAAAGGTTCAATGTCTTTCTCTGCTCTTCTCTTCACATCCAAAGGAGGCAATGAAGGGTTTTTCTTAACCCTAATGGAAGAGTCTCTATTCTCCACAGGAGCTGACGGAGAAAGGATCATCGATGGTAATGAATTGCGACGGAATGATGTCGAAGAAGGGCTCAACGGGGGCAAGGAGAAGGCAGGCGAAGGTTGAGTCATCAACCGTGGTCCCGAAGGAGTGATATTGTCGGATCCATTCATTGTTAAGGATTGAAGAAGAAGACCAATAATCAAGTATCTGCATCATATTAAAAGTCATGTTTCTACGTAAAACACATTTTTTCTTACATGCATGCGAAATAAAAAAAAATCAAATAGATAAATGGGAAAAAATAATAACAAAAAAAAGATAACAATGCAATGCTATTATTAAAATTATCAAAGATTATTTGGTTGCAATACAGATTTTCATCAGTTTATAGAGAAAGGAGAACAAAAACACAATTGATACGTTGAGTAAGGGAAAAAGAGTTGAAACAAAAACCTCCGAGAAATTGGAATATGATTTTTGTTTGTTTGGATAAGTTGCACGAGCCTCCTTTTATATTGGTTAAGAATGACAAACAAGTCCAATGTTTTTATCCCCATTCATTAGAATTTAATATTTTTTCTATCTTATGAATCCATAAGTTTGAATCTTATTTTTGTCAATAAAATAACTTTTAAATTTTGAAGTCAAAACACTTGAATAAACTTTTTGTTTTTAGGTAATGTAATGAAAATTTATAAATCTAAGATTTTGGTATTGACTCAATCTTAATTAATATTAAAAACTTTGACATGTTATTTACTCTTCCTAGATTTTGGAGTGTTGTTCACTTTTGCTATTGAGCTATTTTAGAAAGTTTTATTTTTTTTTTATTTTTTACAACTTAGTATTTTGGCATGCTGTTTATTTTTGCTATTGAAATATTTTAATTTGGCAAGTTGTATATTTTTTGGTAATTGAATACCATATTATTTAAAGGGTTGACAATTTACTTTCTCACTAGAAGTATCGTACACCAACGGATGCATCCCAAAAAAATATATATATAACTAGAAATCAATATTTGAATTAACTATAACGTAAATTATCTATTCTTTTTGAATTAAAATAATACGCAGTATAATTATTAATGTTTTGACATATCGAATAAGACAAACCATTAAGGAAACTAATTCAAATATGAATGTTTCACAAAGAGAATATATATAAACTGATTTAGTTTAGTTAAAAAAATTCTGAAAAGAAAATGTAGGATTGACACGTCAACAACAATGTTTCTCTGTTAATGTATATAAATATTTGCCTAACTTATAACTTCTAAGCAAATTTCAAATTTTTAACTAAAGAAACATCAATTACTTAGATGTTAAAAGAGAAACATAAATTATTATGATGATAAATTAGTTAAAATTATATTAATGCAAACTATTTAAATCGTTGTAGATAAGTAAAATTATGGACAAAAAACTCACATGTATGGGCGAGTATTGGACCAAGTAAAAAAAAGAGATATAGCTTTATTAAAAAAAAGAACAGAATTGAAAAATCAAAATTCAAACTTATCGTTAGCATCATTTTTAATCTCAACATGACCCGTAACATAAATTAGATACTTTGAAACAACCTAAAAGAATTATAACTTCAATCCTTGATCCTATAGAATTGCTAAAGTCACCTCAACTTCGTAGATTTATCCATAAAAACCAGGGTTTGGATGCGGCCAATTGAATATGTTTGGGTCCATTGCTTGCATGTTTGATCTGTCGAATTCGCGATGGTTCTGGAATACTTCACATGTTTCCACCTCCATCATTTGAACTTCTGCACTCATTTTTTTGTTCAAGCATGGTATCTCTTTTAGCCGTTGGGCTTCCACATTCCCTTTTTCATTTGAAATTGTTACCGCATTTAGCCTTTCAATTTCCGAGTGCAATTGTTCAGTTAAAGCTGCAACAATAAAGGAAATGAAAACAGATACTCTACAAGTTACAAAGCAAGGGATTTTAAGAAGGTGTTGTTGTTAAGAATCTAGTAAAAAATCTCATCCCAAAATGTTATTTTGTTTATACATTGCAATAAGAAATTACATCATCCTACTCATTAAGTCTTTGGGATAGCGGAAAAAGTATATGTATTTTATGGTTAAGGATCTAGTACAAACTCGCGTATTCAAAAATGTTTCCTTTTTATGTAATATATGTAACCTCCTTTTTTACTCATGGAAATTATTGCACATAAAGAAGATCTTAGCGACGTAAATATACTAGCATGCTCAATGCAAAATAAGTGGTAGGTCGTGAAAGATTAAAGTTGTTTCGACAATTAGATATTACTCTATGGGTGATGTCATAAACAAAGTTCATGCAATTACCAGCGTAATAAACAACCTAAAACCATATAAATCAAACATTTACTATAGATTGCAAAACAAAAATCTTGCTAAAGTATCGATAGAAATTAAGATGTTGTACCATCACGAAGTTGCGCTTGTTGCTCCATCGATTCAATTCGAATAATGATTTCCTTTTTCTCATTCATCATCATTGTTTTATCATTCTGCATGTACATAAAACAATACAAATTTACCAAATTCATTATAGATACTATTTAGACATGCCATGCTTATGGTTGCTAATGTGATATGTCTTACCTCCAAAAGCTTGATCTTTTCATATATTGAAGTATTTCTCTTCTCAAGAAAGTTTACACTGTATTCCAAGTCAATAATGTACTGTAATTTCCTCTGCTTTGAACGTGCCGCTGCCTCTCGATTTTTCAAGATTCTGAAAGAGCATCCATATGGATAAATGTCACAAACCATGATAAAAAAATAATAATAATAAAAGAATTAGAAGCACTAATAATAATTTAGTCACGAAAATTCACTACCTTCTGACTTTCTTAGGATCAGATTTAACCTCTTGAAGTTTGGGACTCTCCGCGATCTTCTTCAACTCATCATCAGTATAATCACTGCTACCAAACTCGAGGCCGGAAGCATTCTCGTCTCCATCAACCGAACTGGAAGAGGAAACGTTACCCGGAGAAGGAGGCAACTTCGGTAAGTCACTGAAACAACTGTCCAGTGAAACACTTCTGTTGTGTCTCCTTAAAGGTTCAATGTCTTTGGCTGCTCTTCTCTTCACACCCAAAGGAGGCAATGAAGAGTTTTTCTTAACCCTAATGGAAGAGTCTCTATTCTCCACATGAGATGACGGAGAAAGGCTCATCGACGGTAATGAATTACGACGGAATGACGATGGAGAAGGGCTCAGTGGTGGCAAGGGAGAGAAGACAGGCGATGATGGCAAGGAGGAGAAGACGGGTGAAGGCTGAGTCATCGACCGTGGTCCGGAAGGAGTGATTTTGTCGGATCCATTCATTGTTAAGGATTAAAGAAGACCAACAATGGAGTATATATCTGCATCATATAAAAAAAAAGTCATGTTTCTACGTATAACTCATTTTTACTTACATGCAAAACAAAATAAAAAAAAAAACACAAAAAAGGCAAAAAGACAATTCAAAGCTATATATGTTTCAAGTTATCAAAGATCATTTGTTTTGAATCGTGATGACATCGAGATTGTCATCAGTTTATAAAGAAAGGAGAACAAAAAACACAATTGAAACGTTGAGTATAAGCAATAAAAAAGTTGAGAAAAACCTCTCAGAAACTGGAATATGATTTATGTTTGTTTGCATAGATAGTTTGCACGAGCCTCCTTTTATATTGGTTAAGAACAATATATGAGTCTCATGTTTTTATTCCCATTTATTAGAATTTAATGATTTTCCTTCTTAAATCCATTAGTTTGAATCTTGTTTTTGTCAATAAAATAACATACAAATTTTGAAGTCAAAACATTTGATGGAACTCTTTGTTTTTAGGTAATGTAATGAAAATTTATAAATCTAAGGTATTGACTCAAAAGTAAACAACACCCCAAAATCACTCACTAGCAAAAGTAAATAACATGCCAAACGTTTAATATTAGGTCAATACCAAAACATAATTATCTTAGATTTTGCTAGTGAGTGATTTTGGCATGTTGTTTACTTTTGCAAGTGAGTGGTTATTTTGGCATGTTATCTATTTTGCTATTGAGTTATTTTGATAAGTTGTTTATTTCTACAACTGTGTTATCTTGCATGCTGGTTTTTTTTTTTTTTTGCTATTATGATGTGTTGATAAGTTGTTATTTTTGATAATTGAATATCGTGTTATTTAAAGAGTTGACAATATATCGTTGGCAAATGCTAATGCTCCTTTGGATTTGCTAAGCATCCCAAATCTTTCCTAATTCTATTGTAGCCTTGTTTTTATTCTTTTTGCCTCGGCTACTCTTTCGTAGGTTCTACTCTTTTCTAAAGCCTAATTTTCATTATAATGATATTAACATATTTAGCAAAAAAAAAAAAAGAGTTGACAATCTATTTTTCGCGAGAATTATCGTATAACACCAGATGCATCCCAAACAATGATCTCGTGCTATATTTCTCCTATAACAACGTCCTAAAAATTATTTTCGGAATCATAGTTTGAAACCTCATAACCCATATATCTCGGCTTTAGTTGGTTTACTGTTTACCATACAAATTTGAACCATCTAAAGATGATATTAAACCAAATTAATTGATTTCAATCGAACCGACCCAAAAAAAAATGATCAAATCAAGGATCCCTAATCCACATAAGATGATTAGTGCCTATTGCCAATATGTAACCACTCTAAATCTGTTCAAATTCTTCGCCACCGGTAATTACACCACTATCATAGAGTTACTTAGCGAGCAACAAAACAAGTAAATATGTTTTCTCTTAAAATATCTCAATACGAACCACCCTGTAAATTAGTATATGTAAATATGTTTTCTTTTGAAAATCATGTTTAACTCCAAAGAATCCCACACTGCACCAGAAAAATTCCCTTTGAATCATCATCTTTCAAATAACCAAATATCATCGCAATCGGATTTACGAAAATAGAATTGCAAAGATTGAATATAGGAAGAAAGAGATGTGGAGAAGACCGGACGGCCGGCAGCCTGCTGTTGGCAATGGACTCGAAGACCAAAATGATGACGAATTGAAGGGCTGATGACTGCCGGAAGGCAAACTTGCATGCCAACGACGACCAAGGCCAATAATCATCGGGCCTGCCGTGCTGCCAAATTCTCTTTCTATTTTCTTTAATTCGAAAATGCAATCTCATATACTATATATGAAGATCATAGCTCGAAATTCAGATTATGCAACAACTCTTGTAACTCATATCTCCTTTACGACTTCAATGTCGTGAAATATCAAAAATAGTAGACTTTTACTTCATCTAAACTAAAATGGTAGATAACAAATCAGGTGGTGTCTCAATTTGTATTGTATGGTTTGAATCTATGTACCTGATACTACCTTTGTATACAATCTGCTGGGATCAAAAATCATCAGCTTTGAGGAACACTCGACGCTATCGATTCTCCGGACCTCATCTTATTGATCTCAACCTTTGCAAGCCGAACCAAGAACAAACCCGCAAAGAATATTGAAACAATAAGCATGAAAAAGACACTGTTCCACCCTCTGCTCGATATGTAACCAGCGAGCAATGGTCCCAAAGCTGCACCAACTGAACCAGTACCGTCTATTATAGCAGTTACTGTTGCCAACGCCCGGCCATTTCCTTTAATAGAATCTTGTGTTCCGAGATCAGCTGCAACGGCTGTGGTTATGAGTGCATAAGGACCGTTTACTAATAACCCAGATATAAACATCAAGACGATGTTGATGAACATGGACACACTCCCATAGATTCTGTACATAATTAGAGCAGGAATGGAGAGTGCCAAGAATGTGATTGATGTGAGGGCACGCGCTTTGATTTTATCGGAAATGAACCCTGCTGATATTCCACCAAGCACTCCTCCTATGTCAAAGACTGTCGAGAGAATCCCAGCGGTTTTGTGGGAGAGATTCACACCCGCAACAGCTGTTTCAAAGCATAATAGTAAGAAGGTGATGCAAATTGAGTTATACAAAAAAAAAAAAAAAGATGTATGCATAAGCTTAAGCTTACCTGTGTGCCTTAAGTAGTATGGTAACCAATACAGAAACGTGTAAGCAACGAGTTTCGAGAAAAACAAACAGAAAGCGTAGGGCGCAACACCAGGTAATCTCCAAGCCTCGAGAAACCCGATAGCAAACAAGGAATCATCCAATTCATCCACGTTTTCAAGAAGCACTGCATCCTCAGCTTCCTGTTTCCTCAAACTTTCCTCCACATTCTCACCTAAACTCATCTCGATCTCCATCTCTTTACCCGGTTCTTCAAACCCCAAATCATGAGGACTAACAACAAGAAACATAAACACAACCACTCCAGAAACAATCACCAACCCACCAGGCAAAACAAAAGACCATCCCCATCCGAAATCAAGAACCGAAGACGCAATAACCGAACCGAGAATATTCCCAACAGAAGTATGAGAATTCCAGACACCCATAATCAAACCACGTTTCTCTTTCCCACACCAATTACCAACAACAGAAACAACACAAGGCCATCCAATAGATTGAAACAAACCACAAACAATCTGAACACTCATATAAACCCAAAGTAAATGAACATTCATCCAATACCCTAAACCAAACACAACAGTAAGAATCCCACTACCCATCATTCCAAACACAAGAAAGTATCTCAAATCAATCCTATCTCCTAAATGCCCAGCAAAATACATACCCAAAGCATACGACGAAAGAAACGCCAAATCAAGCTCACCAAGTCTCTTGGTTCCTTGGGTTCCATTAAACGGAGCCCATCCATTATCAATTGAAGATGAATTAAGAGAAGGTGGTCCAAGGACGCTTTTGACGATACTGGGTGGTTTACGAGAAGCGTGAAACGAAGCATAGGCTATGAATGTAACGATGAGAACTAAGATTTGATGGAAAGTGAAGGTTTTGTGAGGTGTGTTTAGGTTAGGGAAGAGAGAAAACGCCGGAGCTAATCCGACGAGTCTCGATTGCATCTCTTGCTTTAAATCATTTGAGTAAAAAGGATGGATCTTTGTAATCGGAAAAGCTTCAACCTTTGCGAATGTTTTACGTTTTTTCTCCGGTAGGTACTGGGCAGCTGTTAGATCTTGGACGGTCAGGTTTGTTACTTCGGTCGGCGGTCAACCTTTTTTATTTTTTTGATTCGGTATTTTAGTTAGTTCGGACAGAAAAATTAGAGCTTGTCTGAGATGCCCATCCCGCATATAACAAATTATTTAGTAATGTAATGAAATAGATATCAATGTTTTTTATTTGATTTTGGTGATATTGTACATGAGTAAAAACATATTATGACTTAGATAATTATTTATTGGATAAACATGATAACAATATGTTAATTTATAAATATATTATATTAAATTATATTGTATCACTATAAGTTTATAATTTATGTGAGAAATTTATATTTATCATGTTAACTCATTTGTTATATCATATATTCATATATAACAAAATAACGAATTATATATAATATAATATTTATGTGAATAATTAGTTGATTAACATGATAATAGTATAATATCATAATAAATTCATATATTATATGTTAAATGCATATATATCATGTTAAAATAATAATCATATTTATGTATAATTATAATAAAATGCATAATTACTCTTTTGCTAATGTGATTAGCTTGAGAAAAGTTTTTAATAACAGGTATATATAATTATGAACGATAACAATAAAAATAACATGTTAAGTAATATTATATATTGTTAAAAACAATAAGATAGTAATTTATTATCTATAAAAAATTGGGTTACAAATTCTTTAATGTTACATGTAATCGTAACATATTATTACATTCTTTAGTCGTTAATTTATAATTTATCGGGTCAATTTTGGTTAAAGTTTTAGTTAGCAAGATATCTCACAAATTTTAATGCCATCACCATCAAACTCTTTAGCCGCCATCTCCATAAAAATTCATTAGCTCTATCACCGGAGGATTTTCCGATATAGGGATTTGAGTTCGATTTGGGGATCTTTTAGATCTTCATTTGGTTAAACAACGCCATTTTGATAAGAGAGATACGACATCGTTTTACATAGACTGTTAACTAGTAAGTTAACCCCGTAATTGTAATGTAAACGGTTACTTAACGACATGAATGAAACATGGCACAAAAAACGAAATTTAACCATTTTATTAAGAAGTCAATACAAAATTTGTGATTTAAATAATATTTTAAGATTTTATGTTTTTTTCGTCCCAAATTTTAAAGCTCATGCTTTTTTTGTTTTACATTTTCCCAATATATATTTATATACCAAATTAACTAATCTCAAACCGAATCAAATCAAACTATATGAAACCAAACTGAAGTAACTAACACTTATATTTCTTCATATTTTCTTCAAATATGTAATTTCTAAAATAATTTGCCAATCACTCATATATGTCAAATATCTTACCACAAAAAATCTCCGCAGAATTTCTGCAGTCTCAACTAGTGATATGTAAGAAAAAATCTAATGGATTCTTCTTAATTCTTCAATTATGCTAACACCATATAGACTCATACATTAGATTATTCTTTTTCAACAATTTGTGACAACCATATAGACATAATATAATCCAAAATAGCATGGTAAATGAAAAAAAAATGAAAAAAAAAAACACTGTTTTGCCAAATAAGCTTCCATTACATCAAATTTACTAACTTTAAAAAATGAAGAAACAAGCGGATAGCAAAGAGCTATAGCGAAAATTAACCCAAGTTAAAGACCAAGAGCGTGGAATTCCATACTACCATACCTTCTCTGTTACAGTATTTTTTCTCATGCTGTCAGTGATATAACAATGGTTATTAGAACATAATATTTAGGTTTTCGATGATTTTGGCAGTCTTTCCTCAATATAATCTGAATCAATAAACCCTTCTTAGACTATTATTTACATGTTTGCGAAACAGAACATGACAATAGCATTCACATATTGGTATTATTTTCCTACGCATTAGGATGAGTTCGTGATTCTCTTATTTCTCTCGTTTTATATTACATGCGACCAAAATTCACGACGGGTAATTTAGCATGTAATACAATACTTTATCTGTATAATACTATTTATGTAATTGATTTTTGTTTTTTTTCTTTCCAGTTTAGATTTTGAACCATTTTAATTAATTAATATATTGATCAAAAAGAACTCCTATATGTATACCCGCATATTAGGTTCTAACCCACACTATGCATGGATAAAATTAATGCTAATTAATTAATTAATTAATTTTTACAAATATTTAAATAAGAAAATTATTATTTACTTATATGATCACTTTATTATTTCAAATTTTTAAAAGAGGCTGAAAATAGATATCGAGAAGATTTTGTTTTCATTAAAATATGTAGATTAAGTTATATATTAAATCTAATGTGTTTGGTTGTATAAATGGTAGAAAAATATCTCTGAAATTTGTTTAATTATAACTTATAATGATAAAAAGTTAGAGAATTTTGAAAAAGTACACTTAATGAAATTAATTTTTTTTTAATTACAATGCCAAAACATGTAATAATTTATATTTGGAAAGTCATTTTTTAAAATGTATTTCCTAGATAATATTAGTAGGATTTGCATGAGCTTTTTCATACATGTATATAAATATTTTTTGTTAATAACATATATTAGAAGCATGAGACATTGAACAAGACTAGTAAAATTACCTGCAAAGATGATAAAGATTCCTAAATCCTAGCCCTCCAAGCTAAAAAGCTAAATGATCCCAAATATCAAATAACACAAAGGTCACATAGCGAGTATTTGATGCAGCGATATATTATCTATTATTATGTTTTAGTTAATTAATTATATTTTTCAGTTGAGTTTTAGCTTGAGAGAAATAGAGACCTAGAAACTTAAAGAGGGCTAAGGGTTTTAAAGAGAGTTATTGTTCTCAATCGGTTTGTGATTAAGGAACAAGACTTTGAGAGAATAGAAAATAGTGTTAAGGAGAAAACTTGTAAACATATTTTCTATTAATTGAAAGAGTTTTTGAGAAATCCTGAGTTACATCGTGAACTAATTCAAATACTTAATAGCTCTTGCACTTACAGTTCCTGGTGATGACGACGAATCGGACGAGGAGTAGTGTTGATGGTGAGAGAATGGAGAAGAAGAGGAATAAGAGGAGATAGACAAACTTCTCATGGTTATCATGTCAAAATAAATTATGAGATTGTTCTTAACTTATCTTTGTTTTGTAAACTTTTGTGGTTTATGATTTTGGATATTACCCCTAGATGTAATATAATAATGAAGGTCCTTGACTCAATTTCTAGGAAATTTGATACCTCTTCAAATTCAGACATGTCGATATTAATGGTAACCAGCTCCTTAAAACAAAAGAAAGTGATTGGGTGAGAATCGACATAGGTTGCTTTCTAAAGAAATGGACCGTCAAGTCAATCATCTACTAGAGCTTTGTAATTATTTAGTTTTTTTTTTCATAAGAAAATATATTTAAATGTTTAAATTAAATTATAAAAATTGATAGTTTAATCATGAGAAAAAGTATTAAGAAAACATATGTTTTTAGACATTTTAGTATAAGTGGCATTCAACATTTTCTAAAACTAAACAAAATTAAATTCAAAATAAAATATAGATTCAACAAACTGATTTTAGAAAGAAACATTGAATAAAGCTGCTACACCTAAATTTTGAAACTAGAAGCAAAATTTAATAAAATCAAAAGACATGTCTAGTTATCTTAGATTTTAAATAAATATAGTAGTAATAACAGAGGAATAAGAATCTATATATATATATATATATATATATATATAACTAGATATGGATCCGTGTTGCTGGTCAAAATTATCATTTTTAACTTTTAATTTTATTTTTGTAAGCATATCTAAAATTATACAAACATAGATATTTTAAATAATGCAGCATTTTAATTATTATTATTAGATTTATAATGCATATTGCAAAGTATAAAACACTATTTGTAGTTATGTTATACTAATTATTAAATCATCTAATAAAAATATTGGCCTATTTATAAAATTATATTATTTTTGGCTTATTATAAGTTATGAAGTCATAAATATTCATAAGTTGTATTATTGACTTTTAATAAGTTATTTACATCCATGGAAGAGTGTATTACATCTTATAATTTCAATGTGGGAAAGATGGAAAGAAACTGTGACAATAAGAAAAGATGAAATTATATAATTACGTGGCATTGTCAATTTTTGGCTCATATATATTACCTATTTATTCGTTTTCTCTTTATTCTTTCCGCTCGCCGGCGAAAAATTCTCATATCTCTCTATTTTTCTCATTAGCTTTCTCTTATTTTTGCTTGAACTCTTATTTTTTTCTCCTTCCCTCCCTCTTTTTTCCCCTATCTTCATTTATTCCATTCGTCGGACATCACCACCGAGTCTCACTACTCTAACCCACCACCACAAATGAATCTCACTACTATCACAATCACCACCACTATCAATACCGAATCTCGCTAATTTCGATCCACCACCTTCATCAACATTTATCGCCGCCACCACCATCTAACTTGAACCATCGTCATTAACACCAACACCACTGTTTTCGATTCTTCTCCTCTTTTCCCAACTTCTCTTATTACTCCACTTTCTTTATCTTCTCTGACATCAGGCCAAGCCTCTCCGAGAACAACTCTAATATATGTCCATAGCCGTTCATAATTCTTAATTTGCCTCCATTGCCATATATTCCTTGAATCTGAATATCACATGCTATTTTTAGAAAACCATCGTGATTCACAGTGTTTGTTTTTATAAGGGACATGATATATTTACAACAAATAATAAATACATGTAATTTTTACATGATCATGTTATTTTTTAAAATCATCCAATCACCACCTCCGTAACCATCAACCACCACCATCATCACCTTCATAACAATCACATGCTACTCCTTTCTTTTATTTTCAGTATGACATGCTATTTTATTTAATGACATTGTTGGATGTCTCTATTTCGTCGTCAAAATTCTAATATTGATTTTTTTTTTTCAGATTTTTCGTGTTATTAGTATTTATTTCATGTTTTTTTCT